ACTAGCATACCTCATACGTTCCCCTTTGATGAAGGCTTTCTTATTGCTAGAAGGGTGAAACGACTCAAAGATATTTGTTAAGAGGCTTTTGAAAGGTGGAAAATTGCAGCACGATCGAAGACGTATCTCTATAGAAAAACAAATCCAGAAAAGAAATACTACTTTCGCTAATACCACGAGTAAGTTTGATTCGATCAGTTTTGCTGTTGAGAGCGTTTAGAAATTCCAAGAGGGTACCTTTGGACCCATACCAGATAGCAAAAATGTCATCAATAAAACGCTTGTACAACGTAAGGTATTGGGAGTAATATTCCACAATATCCTTCCCGCGATGAAACATAAAAGCATTAGCTACCGTAACTGCAAAAGGCGTACCCATTGCAATACCACACACTTGATGAAAAATATCCGGATTAAATTATGAAAATAGGTAATTATTATCAAAACCTAGCCTGACGAGCTGGATCAACAATGGAGTCTCGGGAACTCTTGCTTCCAGGAGAAGCAGGTCGGGCGCGATAAGTGCTTTCTTCGTATCCACGTTTGGATACAGGGATACGACATCCGCCGTGACAAGAAAGCAATCGGTATTGGGTAAAACCGTGCTCTCCAATAATTGAATAAGCTCACCCGAGTCCCTACGAACAGTAGGCATACGTATTTTAGGCTTAGTAAGCTCGCCGATAAAAATACTAATAGGCCTTTGTTATCCAAGAAAAATGTTTCACCTGCTGTTACAGTAAACCCACACTCATGGTACCCTTTCACAACACACTCTGTCAATATCACATCACGCTGTATATGCAGCAAGTCCCGGGAACAAGTCTGAAAATTGAAGGTATCCTCTTTCAAGAGTTACCGATTAAGATCGATGACAATCGATGACAATCGATGACAATCGATATAATCCATAGCAATTACGAGGACTAGGATTGTGAGTATCGATTTTCATCGATTAATTGAGATAATCGATAATAATCGATTAATTATTATTGATTATATTGATTATATCCATTGCCTTCCGATGATCGATTTTCATCGATTGGGCACGCCGGGCAAGGACCTTGGACTGCCGATCAGTAAGCTGCAATGATGCAAAATTATGGATTCCCGAGTTTCGTGGTAATAAATCGAATAGCGGTCTTTTAGCCATCTTAAACAACCATTTCTCCTTCGGAGAACGACTGTCTATTTTACGCGGCCGGAACCTTTTCCTCGAGCGTTTTTTGACGACGATCGAGGTTTCGAGGTTGGTTAGAACGCTTCGCTGATTTCGATCTGGATCTTTGGCCTTCTCGGTGCTTGCCACTGCGTTTGCCGCCAGGTTTTTTTGCCCACGAGAGACACTTTGCGATTCCCATCTGGTGGTTTCGTGGTGGCCATAGCATGAAGGGCTTCGTTTCGGACGATGTCTTTGATGGACTCCTCCGTAGGCACGAAAACCTCGTTGTCATCCATTTTTTCACTTCTGGATACCTTGGGGTTGATCTCCGTTTGAAGAGCTTTAGAAGCTCGCCAGACCGCAGTGTATTTGGTGGTCTGCTCAAAAAATGCCACGGCGACCTCATCGAGACCGCTCGCTTTTGACTCCGAGATGTCATTTGTCAGGAGCTTGAATTCCAGCGCGCTACAGTGCCATCGACGTTGATAGAAGCGGTGCGGACGGCTTCCTGATGGTCTTTGATCTCAGAGCGGAGATTCTCGATCGTAGCTGCCAACATCTTGACTTCTGCCTCGTGAACAATTTCATCGAATTTGGTTTGAAGCGTTTCCACGTTTCTGCCTTTGGCTTGGATACTAGGCTCGATTTCCGCCGCTTTCTCCTGTGCTTTCTCGAGTCCGGTCTACCTTCCTCCCCGAGAAGAGAGTTGGGGGAGGAGCGCGGGTTCCTTTCCCGAACAGCGGCTGGTAATCGAGCCTACTTGGATACTTGCGATCCTAAGGCCAGTTGGAATGGTGTCGTTGCTCAAATGCTCCTCTAGCCGCTTGACTCTGGACAAGAGGTTAGAATGGGCTTTATCGGCATCCCCTCGCAGTGGAACTATACCGGGGATTTTGTGACACGTCTGGCTGCAACGCAGGCTAATATTAATATTGCAGATATTGAAAACGGGGTTTGCTGCAGCGTACATCTTTGTCTTTGATATTGGACACCCAGTCGCGTGATCATATCGCGGGCTCAGGTTTAGAAATAATTGGTGTAAAACATTTGGTGCATTTATCTATTATTTAATAATATACATGAAAAAATTACTCGATTCTGATTGGCTGAGAGCAGTGCAGTTCAAGTGTATCAACAGTGCAAAAAGTGTAACACCGGTGCAAAAAGTGCAACACCGGTGCAAATTACATACCGTAATTCTGGATTATGAAATGTTCGAAGCCAATGATATTACGTAAAATGATGAGGAAAGTTTTTTGCGGAAACTTTGAAAAAAGTTTTCTCGAAAGAGAAAAAAATGGCTTCAAGAAAGGTCTTCCGGCACTTCCTCCACGCAAATTTTTTCGTGTTTATATCGTTAATAAGTAATCATACGGTTTTTCTCGTTCAATTTGGAATTAATTCGCACTTGTGAGTTTTTCATAAAGCTGAAATTGCACTCGCTGAAACGGCTCGTGCAATTTCAGCTTTTTGAAAAACTCACAAGTGCAAATTAATTCCAAATTGAACGAGAAAAACCGTATGATTACCTATACAAATAACGCCCCGGCCTGGTTAGCCAGAATATCACCCAGGTTTAAGCCTGAATATCACTCAAGTTAGCCTGAATGGCNAATATTAAATTTGCCATAATTTGTTCGAATTTTTGGAAGATAGAAAGTAGATCTAGATGCAAAGCGAGTATTTACATTATGTTTACAAGATGTTTTGATATCTCAAACTTAAAGGTAAAATTG